TTTAAAACAATGTCCTGAACTGTGTGCTTAAAATCGATTTTTACCCCCAATTTGCACTCCATCAAGAACTGCTGGATTTCTGGTTTGCTATTGGGAGCAGATGTCACTGTGGGAATCTTATTTTCTGTTTCAGATCCAATATGAAAACTGCGTCTATAGCAAGGGGCCAGGAATTCCCTGCAAGGAGCAGGACAGTGTGTCTGAGTCAGCACTGGCTTCTCGTTTGTGACAATATGCAAATTGCCAATGGCAGAGTTCAAGTGCACTCAAATATGTGGCATTTTTCACAGTTCATTGTTCTTTATATCTTGAATTTCTGAAAACCACTTGAGATTTGCGTACACGATACATTTCCCTTTCCTGGGCTTAGAAAAGACAGTAGATTTACAGCGAAGTCTACTTCCTTCATGGAAGTCACAAGAGAAGAGCTTTTGGCTTTTTCTTCTATTCTCTTCCCCCTCTGCATGGTAAATGGAGGTGCTGTAGAGCCATGAGGGTAACAGGGAAAGTAACCTCCTGAACTCAGAGGTAACAGAAATATGAGTACAACATATTTTTAACACAGATTCACATCTTTGAAGTCTGCTAGTGTGTATATTCACTCCCAAACACTGTAACTGGTCCACTGTGGAGACTTGTTATTCAACTTGAAATTTAATTTGCCCAGAAGGAATCGCTTTCTTATCAGGTATTTCCTCAATTGAGAAAGTGATCTTACAACAGTAATTATTAGCACTAAGGGTCCAGGGAAGTGAAACAACGTGGCGACTCAGAGCCCAGAACTCAGACTTTCCTACTCGGTGGAGTGCCCTCTTTCCAGAACCCCACCGCTTCTCTGAAACAAGTGCTGTGCGGGCATATTTTCTGGGTCTGTAAAGTTTTCAGTTTTCTGGGGAAGCTCACATAATTTTAACCCTATAATATAAAACCTGTGTTGATTATGTTACCTTTCAAAAGGAGCTATAAATCAACTATCTGTTTCACAAATTACGCAAGTTTACATTGAAAGCCTGGTATGTCCCGGGCACTGTGCTAAACTAACAGGACGTAGAGCAGTGAACAAAGACACAGTCTCTGCCTTCTGGGAACTGCTGAGAATAACAGGCTTCCATGGCATTTACTATGCATTCTGATAGGCGTTATTCTAAGTGTATTCGTATTTTATAGGAGATCAATCCTATTACTATCCCCGTATTATAGATAGGAAACTGAGGCACAGAGACACTCCGGTAATAAGTATCACAGTCAGGATTCGAATCCAACTTTAGATAAGTGATTCCTGATGAGTATTATTGAAGGGAAGGGAAGGTGCTGTGGGAACTTTTGCTGATATGATTTCACCTAATCCAGGTGGTTAGATGAGTAGGAATTAGGCAGGGACTGGGCCAGACAAAGGAACTATAGGCAGGACAGGGTTGGCACTTAGCCTCAGGGACAGTTGGACCTAGAGGCCTGATGCTTACAGGGGTGTCTCTGCTTATCTGTTTGATTCTCTTCCGCTACAGACTTGCTTCTCCAGCATGGTGCAGCTATGGCTGTCAAGAGCTCCCAAGTCTCTCTGCTGGAAAGCAGCTGACTCTCCTCCCTTGGCTCCATTGTGGGAATCCATGGGATGTTGTTTGGTGCAATTGTTTGGTCCACCCTTGGACCAATTACAGTGGCCAGAGACAGGGGGCCCAGCTTTGGGACAGAATTCAACCAGATTTGGGGACTATAGGCTAGACTTCTCACCCGTCTATTATATAGGATATTGTCAGTGTTGCCTTTCATATGCACCCCTCGGAAGCTCCTTCTTTTGATCAGGGTGATTTCCCTGGCACACAAAGCTTCCTTTCAGGAGCTCACGTTACCGTGCTGAGGATTATAACATAATAATGCAGACAGAATGTGTCATATCAGGCTACTCTCTGTTGCTCTGAAAGATAGCCACTGCCCTGTCTGTGGGGTAGTCTCCTTTTTTTTTTTCTTACTTCAGTAGACTTGCTTTTGCCTTAAAAAGAAAAAAAAGAAGGTGTCATATCAGTTTATTTCATGAAATGAGATGATCTTTCCACAATGCTTCCTCAGTCTTCTTATTTAGGAGTCCCCTGTGCAATGTCAACACCTTAGAATGTCCTAAAACCTCAGCTTTGAAGGTACTAAGAGCTCCTTTGGTGCAATAGTTGGGTGGTTAGCAAATTCTAAATACATATTTAAACATAAGACACAAAGCAAAGAGACCCAAGGTCACTGCAGTGGCTAGCTCCATGGTTTTGTTTTTTTTTCCAGGTTCATAATAAGCAGGCATGACTTGATCTGACCTAAGGTTGAATCTAAAAATGGAATCACTGTGTCAAGGCTAAGAATCTTGTGTGTTGTTGGGAGTAGGTAAAGTGCTTTCCCTTTCTCTTGTGGGTTACTCCTCGGCTAAGAGCAAGGGCTCTGGAGCAAGATGACTCTGGGTTAAAGTTCTAGCTTGCAAATAATTTAGGCTCCCTGTGCCTCAGCTACCTCAGCTCTAGGATGATAACAGTATCTAATGCATAGGTCTGTTGTGTACGTCAACAAATGTGTGATGTGCCTGGCTTAGTAACAGGCATAGGGTCAGGATCAGGAAGCTTTAGATATCATAATTATCACCATCGTGTACCAGCCCCATCCCTTGGCCTGGAGGTTTAAGAGTAATCAGTCTAAGAAATGGGACAGTGTGTTGGACCAGATGCTTTTTACAAATCTGATTTCCTCATCTCGCCCTTCTACATTTTTGAGGACAAGATAAGAGAAAGGGAAGGAAACTAACACTTAAGGCACTTGCTCCCCGCCACACACCTTCACACACACGTCATGCAGTTGTAATTCATCATTTCTGTAATCATTTCTTTACTGTCTGTCTCAGCAGATGTGTGAATGTGCCAAGTGCAAGGGTCCCTCTGTCAGTCTTTTTCACTGCTGCCACGTAGTAGATGCTCAGTAAGCACAGGTTGGATTCAACTTTGCTCACAACCCCTTATTTAGGTAGCTGTTACTGCATTCTCACTGTCTCCAAAAATGAAGGTTTCCAGGCACTACTGCTGCTGATAAGTGGGGGAGCCGATCTGAACCCAGATTTTCTGACTGCTATTCCAGTGCCATTTCTTTTTATTAACAAGTGCAAATGATGAGGAAGAATTAAACCAAATTCGTAGTTCCTCTGTGTGGTATGCAAATTGGATTTTTAAATCTGTAGGGAGAGAAATCAGCTTCTCTGTCCCACTGCTGGTTAATCGGGATTTAAAACAAGGTTGAATTGCAGATCTGCAGTGTAATTTTCACGTAGAGGCCTCACTTCTGCTCCTCAGCCCATTTGATTCACAATGGAAGGAACACCACCAATGGTTTCTGTTTAGAAGGCAGTTTAGAATTTTTATTCTAAAATTCCCGTGAGCCTTATTGACTTTCCATGTCTTTTTTCTCTCTTTTCAACTGTGATCCTTTAAAGTGGAGGCCACAGAGACACTTTCTTTGTGCGTCCTTCCTTTCATGGCTGACTCTGAAATCCACCCAGGTGCATTTAAGGTTTAAGTTTCCAAACTTTGATTCATTCAGCACTAAACCTTTATAAAGCCCATATTCTATTCTGCCATGTGTTGGAGAAATAAATAAGACAAGGTTGATCGTATTAATGGGAGACAGATACATAAAACGATACAATATAATGTTGCAAAAATGCGATAAAATGAATTGATTCATGCGTGGAAGGGTCACCAGGGGGGTCTCAGGGTAGAATTGTGAGATGACGTAACTTTTCCATTCATTTTATGGTATATAATCTGTCTAGGAGCAAAGTTTAAAAGAGGGGAGCAGTTCTAGGATCTTTCCTCCCAAGGAGGTAAATAAAATCTAAATGAGTGAGATAGGTCTGGCCCTAAAAGATAAGTTAGAAAGTAGGCAGCTAAGGGTGGTCACAGTTACCCAGGGGACCTGGCTCCAGTCTCGGGATATTATGTGCTAAAGTCAGCTCTCTCAGGTGCAGTGCTAAATGCACTCACATATTGCTTCATTTAATCCTTTCGATATTTCTGTAGTGTAAACTACTCTTATTTTTTTTCCATTCATAGATGGGGAAATTAAGGCTGAAAGAGGTCAAATAAACTGCTCAGGTTTGCAGAACTGTCACGCTGAGGAGCTAGGATCACAAGCTCCTAACATTCTGCTATACAAGTCATGCCTCTCTTCTCATTTCCAGATCAGTTTACCTACCTGCCATCTGCATACTAAACCTCACCACCTGGGTATCTCTGAAGACATTTACCAAGGGGCAGAGTAAACCCATCCTTTCTCCTATCCAAATTAGTCTCTCTTCTATTTTCTCTGCCTTGTCCAAGCCCAACTGCAGGACTTCATGCCTTGAAGTCAACCAGCTGATGATAATTTCTCCTGTAAATTTGCCTATTACAAATAAAAAAGAATAGGATATGCTAGGAGGCAGAAATAAACATTCTGGTCAGTTTATTGGTGTCATTATTTATTCCAGTTATTGAATTGTCCTTTAGCTATGTGTCACAGGTTTTCCACATGTTTTGGTAGTTTGCTTCTGTCCTAAGTCTGGACTCTGCACTTCTCCATGGGAGGAGTGATAAACTAACTTACCTTTGTATCCCACAGTATTTTCTTTAGTTGTGATTTTTGCCTCTAATTGAATATCTTAAGGGGAAGAAATTCTAGTGTCAGAATTTGAGCCCTGAAAGGATATTTATACGGGGATACTGGTGTGATAGAAGAAAATACTCTGGCTGAAATGACCTTCAAAGGATACCTGATAGGTCTAAAGCCTAACAGGCTTAAAAGGGCTGAAAAAGCAATTAGCAATGACAAGCTAATTGCTGCGAGTTAGTCCAGTGGGTGAATGGATTTTTATGCCTGGTGTTTTGGTCATTTTGTAGTAGACCGAAGCCCAGTTAAATGGTGTTAACTGCTCAAGTTGGAAAGCACACTTGAGCCCTGCAACGCTGCTGACTGATGGAATCTTTTTTTAATTTCAGGAAGACGTGTCCCAGGTGACTGGTCAAGGTGTAGTGGCAGATCAGCAGAAGGCGCTGGAGTACCCACCTGACAATGTATGTAACTTGTACTTTCAGTTTTGCTCTATTGGGGTGGTGTGCATTATAACCTGGGCTCTAGAAGATAAGGAGGTGGTTGTAATGACATCAAATCCTTTATTACTTGACGGGAGATTGTGGTGTGTCTTGCAACCTGCAGTCAATCCACAGTCGTATCATTGATTATGTGCAAGGTGTGTAGAAATGACCTGTGTTCATCTCTTTGTACCAATGTCCTAACCAGGTGTTTAAAAGGCATCCCTGAGGCCGGGAGCGGTGGCTCACGCCTGTAATCCTAGCACTCTGGGAGGCCAAGGCGGGCGGATTGTTTGAGCTCAGGAGTTCGAGACCAGCCTGAGCAAGAGCGAG